TTTTTTGTTTTTTAATAAATATTTAATAATTATAAATTTTTATAATCGATGAATTTATTATAAATGTTTAATCAATTTAAATTAAATTTAATAATTAATTTTCAAAGATATTTATTGAAAAATAATATTTTTAAAATTAAAATTCTAACCTTTTTTAAAAATTTGTTAATATACACTATCCCCCCTCCCTTCTTTTTTTTTTTTTTTTAAGTAGAGCCTATAAATATAGTAGTTTATAGCAACACCACCTTGGATGAGAGGGTCTTGATGTGGCAGTGATGAAGCGCTGATGAGGCAGAGCTAACAGCCAACTATTAAGTTTAGGCTAATTTTTTGAAAGTCGAATGGTTAAGATCTGTTTAATTTATTAAAAGTTTGAAATTTTTTTTTTTTAGAGAAACCGTTCATTAAAGAGTTGAGGCTTGATCAGCATTGGACTTTCGGGTCTTATGGTTTATCTCAAAGTTTTAAGTGCCTGACTATAGTTAATTGAGAGTTCGATTCTTATTAACAATTTGAAAAGAAATCCCCTTTCTATAAGTTCTCTCATGTTCAAAAAAAAAAAAAAAATAGTTGAGGCTTGATCCATAAAATAAAGATTTTACGAGAAAAAATAAGAAAATTTTTTGAAGTTATAATCATTTTAAAAAGAAAATGTAAGTGGTTATTTTGATATAATCAATTACAAATACAATATATTTAATTATGATTCTTGAAAATTTTTTTCAGGAGTTTTGATTGAGAAGTAGTTTTGGAAAGTTATAATCAATTATATTCCTTATAATTAATTATAAGAAGATGTTATAGGGATAATTTTTTTATATTATTTTTTTATACAACTTCTACATGTTATTAAATGAGTGGATGCTTTCAATATCACGGATCCTATATGAATTAAAAATATTAATCATTTAAATAATACGTCAAGTTGTACAAAAAATTAAAATAAAAAAATTATACAAAAATCATTTCCCTTAATTACATTCTTTTTGCTCCTTGATTTAAAATCCTGGACCAAACCAAGCTGTTAAATTTAGATAACTCTCCTGAAAAGTTTTTCCAAATTCCTAATAAAGCAAACAGGCCCTTAAAAGGGCTAATTTCCTTGTCTTCTTAGTTGGGGGCTAAAAACCCTCACATTTTGTGAGTTGAGGGGCATCGTAGTGGGTTTAAGCCTAAGCCGTCGGTCTAAGGTAAAGTGGGAGTTTCAGCCGGGTACGTAATTACAAAACTATCCTTCTGTTTTTTATTAAGTAAGAATTAAGATTGGAATAATAGTCGAATAAGTCTCAAAAATAATTTTTACTAGCAAATAAGTTTAGAGGTCAGGTGAATGAGTTTGTCACTAATACATTTTTTATAAAAAATATCAACCTCATTCTTAGAAAAAGGCTAAAAACACAAATTTGTACGTCACTACTGATCAAATTCGAAATAAACAATTATAGACTTGAATTTTGGGTCAATATCATGCTTAATTATAATTTTCATGACATAATTGATACAACCTTTTTTTGCATGTCAGTCTCTATGTAGTAGTATCAAGAACAATGAAGAAGATCGAAAAGATGGAATTAGAAAAGATCAAATACCACATTGGAGCAAATCTAAAAGTGGAATTCACAGCTTGTAGTGCATAGCAAGCCGAGTACAGTAACTTTTATTAGTTCTTCTCCCCAGTCAAAAGAAGGCCCAAGCTGGCTTAATTGGCCCCAGCCCCAAGTTAAAGCTCCAACCAGAGAGAAGGAAAATCCAAACTCCTTAGCCCATCTTAGGGCCATGACATCTGCGGTATCCTCTCTATTTCTGCCTACTCCAAGTGTAAATTAAATAGACAATATAGCTGCCTCGTTCAGTGACAACATAAGGTTAGGTATTATGCACAGACTTTAAATGTGCAATGCTTAATTTGGAAGAGTTCACAATGATAATATAATAACAATCCTTCCATTCATTTTATAATAGCAAAGAATAACATGCAAAGAGTTATGTCTGCCACACGCATCATCCACTGCTGAAAAGATATACCATTATTCAATACATATAACTCTAGCTCCTTTTTACTCCGAAAGTTTTTAAGCATCCAACTTGAAAAAAGGCTCTTGTTTTAAGGATACTAGTGTTGTTAGCTTTACTTTAGGCAAAAGTAAAAGTTTCTTACATAATTGGCTAACACATGCCAAACTTCCTATCATATTTGTTAGGAAAGAACAAAGATTAGATACCATCCAACATGCACCATAAAAAGTTTGAAAAAGCATACCCCAATTAGCACTATGGGGTCCATTGAACTCCACTTGAGCGTTCCACATGCGACAAATATCACTTTGCAGTATCAAAATGTGAAGAAGTCAGTCATAAAACCAGCAAGCAACCATCTTTGTATTCTTTATTTTGCCTTCATTAGAAAATTTCTCCATGTCAATCTGCTTGATAAGCAAGAGAGCCATGATTATTGTAAGTTTCAACAACTTTAGCTTCTCCCCTTTCAATCTTGACAATTCCAAATCCATTGGGCATACTATTAGAGCTGTGGTGTCAAAGCTGCACAAGAGGCAGCAAATGGAAAGAAAGCTGCACAAGTGGCAGCAAAATGAAATGAAGGGAGAGCTAAACCAAGCATGGTAGTAGCAAAGTGCGACAAGCTATGCTGCAAACGTCGATGAAATGGGGCTGTAATGAAATGCAAATGAAAGGTTGCAAAGTAGCAATAGGTACAGCCACATGGAGCTGCACAAGTGGCAGCAAATGAAAGGAAATGAAGCTACAATGAAGGTTGCAAAGTGGTTATAGAGTTCTAGCCATAAAAAGCCGCACAAATGGCAGCAAGACTTTTAATGTAATCTTGCATTAAATGTTCTGTAGATTTTTTCATGTATTAGATAAGTATTAGGTGGGAAATTACCTTTACGTATTGAGTTTTCTACTATATAATAGCAGAACAATGAATGAAAAAAATGGGTTCTCACCCCTTGAAATGAGAGAACTCTGGTGCGTCTCCCTTTCTCCTCCAAGTCCTTTCTTTCACCAAAAAATCCAACACATACAAGCTACCAAGACCTGTCCTGACACAAAAGGGTGGTGCTTTAATCTCCAAACTCCTTCCCCTAGACATGTTTTGATTACTAGTTTTGAGATTGACCTTATGTCCCACACTCTCAAGCATTCATCATATCTCTACCAATAAAATATTGGGATCAATAGGGCTCTTACCAATGCAACAAACTCCTATCTTGTGGACTACATAGTTTAGAATTCTGGAAGACCAAATTGGATGAGCTATCTTGCATATCCCAACAACTAAATTTGCAATCATCTAAATCACCGTAGACTAAGTTTGGTGACTGTAAAAACTTCTATGTAAAAAGGTAACTTAATTAATGATCTATATTCATTTGATTCACCCAATGAGGCATTTCATCAAACAGGTTATATGCACAAAGCTAAGTACTACTAATCCCAAAAAAAATTCACTCTACATCTGGTTGTATACATGCTAAAGAGACTGCATATCACTAATGGGCATTGGGCATGGAAGAAAAAAAAATTGGTGAAATGAGTCTATGGCTCTATGCCTTTGAGGAATTAGGCTATTTATGTTAGTTGAATGATGGATCTCAATCTCAACTTTGTTATCATTGGGCTTTATTTGTCTACGTAGACTCAACTCAACAACAGTTTTCCTGACAAAAATAGAAATTGAGACATCAAAAGTTTCTCATGTCATGTCTTTGTCATGTAAGAGGTTTTATGCTACAACTATATTTGGGTCGACGAAGTAATTATTCATATTTAATATAACCTATAGGAGTATAAAATAAAAACATCATATTACAGTTACATACAATCAATAACTTATATTTTTTACTTTCACTAATTTTAAGTGAGTTAAAAGAGAATAGCTAAGAGTTAAATTAAGGAAGTTGTTTTATCTATTATCAAAGTTCTTTCATCTTATCTTATTAGAAGTAAATTGATGAAACTAATAAGGAATAGGCATTCTTTATATGTCATGCTTACTTTAAAAATTTATTTATTTTTATGGTTTGATAAAAAATAGCTATTTATCTAACTAAATGAGCCTCAAAAGGTTTTAATGTCA